CAATCGACTTTGCATCCACCGCCCTAACACAATGGCCCGTCAATTAAATGTTGCTGATGTGGAGTCCGAGCGGGGCCCGGCACACACACGGGCATTTTTTGAACTGGAAGGACATGAGAGGTGACACTGTAATGTGATGGAATGCATAGGGACTCGGGGTTCAGGCAAGCCCAAGTTCAAATCGCACTTTCTTTGTCTATAAAATGGGAAGACAATACCTCCACCTTGCTGGGCAGAGTGAGGATTACTCTCACTCACAAATGGAAAGCATTTGTGTCAATTCCTAGGGACACCAGAAGAATGACCAGAAACTGGGTTGTTTAAGACAACGGGAAATTGTTCTCTCACAGTTCCAGAAGCCAGGAGACTAAAATCGAGGTGTCGGCAGGACCACCCTCCCTGCCGAGGCTCTTGCGGGGGAATCACCCCTCGCCTCTCCCAGCTTCTAGTGGCTCCAGGCCACCCATGGCTTGTGGCTGCATCGCTCTCATCTCTGCTCTGAATTTTCACATCACCTTCTCTTCTCCTGTGTCACTCTGTGCGTCTTTTATGAGGGTACCTGTCATTGGGACTTAGGACCCACACCAGTGATCTCATCTTGAGATCCTTAACTTAATGGCATCGCAATGACCCTTTTTCCAAATAAGGTCCCATTCCCAGGTTCCAGGGATCAGGATATACCTTGGGGGGGGGCGGGGGCAGCCACCATTTAACCTGCTACAGCATCTAATATCTACCTGACATAGAGCAGCCATTCAGCTTATGAGCTACTGCTCAATAATTAGTCCCTAGAATAATAGTTGTTATTACTATTTTCAGCACGGAAGGATAGGGCTTTTCATCTCCCTCACCCCTTCTTTCCTTCCTAGCCTCACTCCTAGTGGAAGGGAACTTTACCTGAATGACACATCAAAGCAGCTATAAGGGAGTGGTCACATTTACCAAGAGGGATGTGTGTCTGGCAGCTGCTCCTCTGTGAAAACTCTAAAAGACTCAGCTTACCTCTAAAGAGGAAGACTGTTGACAAGCTGCCACCTTCTCGACGTCTCAAGAAGAATACTCTCCAAAGCCTCAGCCTCCCGCTCCCAGGAGTGAGTCGAGACAAGGATGGGGCGGAGGCAGGCTACAGGGACTAAAAACAAAGAGAGGCGATCAGGCAGGAGGTGGGCATTTCCGGATGCCCGATTCAAGCTGACTCTATAGGAACAGGATCAAATACTGGCCACCATCATTTGAACTCTGTGTGTGTTCATTATCAGCTGCGGGTGGTTTTGAGGTGATGGACTACGGCTGCACGGCCTTGCATCATCCCATCCAATTCAACTCCCTCTCTTTAAAGATTTCCTTTCCCTCTTGACAGCTCAGGTTTTTCAGGCTGCATGGCGCACTCAAGCTGCCCTCCTCAAGTCCACTCATTCAAATGCCCCTGGAAGGCAGATCTAGTTCTCTATTTGATCCCTGTGTTGGAGACCTCAGCGGGAACCAAAAAATCCCGGCAGGTCTTGGTAGGAGTGGATGCAAGGTCAGATGGGCCCTGAATCCTGGGGGGAATTAGGGAGTTGGTGGAGTTCTTGCTTTCTTGGGCTTTATATTCGCCTCCAGTCCTTCCATCTGGGACCATTTGTGCCATCTTTTGTTCAACTTTGCCCCTGTACTTTGGGTCCAAGCCTCACATCAGTGACCTGCCCCAAATCCAGTTCTGTCCCAGACTCTAGGTCAGCCTCAGCCTTGGTCAGTAGAACGGTCTGGAAGGCAGAGCACAGCAGGGTCTCATCCTTCGCCCTGAGTTCTAATCCCTGGACAGTTTTGAACTTGGGCTCTTTGCTGGTTGTTCTCCATTTGCTTACCCCAAATCCACTCTCTGTTCACCCTTCTCTGAGCCCAGAAACGGACACCAGAAATGCCTCACCCAAGTGACTTTCAACTGACTGGCTGATGAGAGGCACTGGCAGGAGGTGGACAGTGGCAGTTAGGAGAAGTCGGGGACTTATCGGCTCCCCTGCTGCACCTCCTGGAGTCCCTTGTGACTCCATCTCCTGCCAGGCATCCTTTTTCCACAGCGCCTGCCCTGCTAGGCTGAGGTGACACTGTTTTCATCCCTCAGCCCCTCAGCCTCATGGGTGGCTGCCAATGGTCTCAGGTGCCTCCCCATCCCGGCTGCTTCCCTGACCACGCCCACAAAAATCTCTTCACTTGAACCCCTTCCTAGCAGGAGCCTTCCCAGGGCAGGGTCAAGCCACCTTCTTCCTCCATTCTCAAGGGCTTGTCCGCATTCCCTACCTGATACTTCCTTTTCTCTGGGGAGAGGGGTGGTGGGTACTGTAGTGTGTCCCCCAGATCTCCCTTGTAGTGCTGCAGTATTCATTCCCCAGTGGCTGGGGGTGTTTGCAGCTGACAAGTGCTCTCAGCTGAGTCCTTCTTCAGGAATTTCCTTGAGCAGAAGACAGCCACCTTGTCCAGGGTCACAGCCTTTCCCACCGGCAGTTTGCATCCAATGCCTGCCTGGTCAGGGGGATGAGGGGTGGGGCTTATAAAGGTGAAGCCTCCTTGCTTCAGGGTTTCACAACCCTGAGGGGGCTTTTCCAGTGTCACAGCTCCCTAGGGGACTGGCTGAAGCCTTCACAGAGACTGCACTGCTGTTCAGCTCCTCTACCATCCTTCTGCCACCTCTCTCTCAGGACTGCCGCCCCTGACCGTGTCCCCAGTAAACTTCCTGTGCAGATCTCAGCGTCTGTGTCCCAGGAACTTGTCCTGAGATGATGAGCTCCTGACTGTAGACTAAGAAATGCTGCTAGCTTCTAGAGACACTGCCAGCCAGACTAGACCCAATTTCCTTCCGTCAGGTCCCAACCAACGTTTGCCACTTACCTGTCTGGATCGCCTACCTGTCCCCGCTTCTCAGAAATTCCACCAGTTGGTCCTGTTTTCCTCTTATTGACTAGAAATGCCCAGCGTCTCTGGTCTCAACTGTCTCATCGCCAACCGACCTCTAGCGCTGGGTTCTTTCTCACAAAATCATAAAGAGACTTCTCACAGAAAAAAAGAAAAGAGGGGAAAAAAAAAGAGGCTTCCCAGTTCACACTACATGCTGGGCACAGTGCCAGGTACTAGCACATAGAAATGGATAAGATGTAGTCTCTGCCTTTGAAGGTTCATATCCCAGATATGCCACTTCACGAGCTATGTGACTTTGTTAAGGAGACAGAAGCAGGAAACTCATGGAGGGGCAGATCGTAAGAGGGTCCATGCCCATATGTTGGTTTAAGACAGAAGATTTCTGCAGCAAGTGGTATAATGATCGTGCCAGGGAAAATGTTGATGATTTGGAGCTAGAACTGCTGGAGTGACAGGAGAGAGAGGTGTGTCTGTGTGCAAGCGGGGGGACTGCTGTCAGGAGCATGGACAGGAAATGTCAGAGGACCGAGCAGATTCCTGGAGAAGTGAGTGCGAGCTCTCTCCTGATGGCTGCTACGCTCTCAGTGAAATAAGGCGAGAGGTCATACGCTAAGAGTGGGGGGGGGGGCACTAAGGATTTGAAGAAAAAAGAGAAGGTGTGTAATGGTCACCAGGGCAATGGGGTGAGAATGACTTGACTGGAGGTTGTAAAACTGGGTGTTGAGGTGATTCAATAAGATAGATGAAAAGCGGTTAGCACAATGCCCCATACATGGTGAAAATGTAACACATTTAGTAATTTTTGTCATTGTTCTTTGGTGACTATATTTACTCAGGAGTCTAGATTACCTAGTAGAGGGTTGCCTGATGAGCTTAGAATTAAAAGAAAAGGCAGGGAGTCTTAGGAAATTTCTTTGAAATTATCATTGACTATTTGTCATTTGCTGAAGTAATTACTTTTTGTAAAGAACTGTTTTCTCATCCAAAAATCAGGACGCAGGCTTCCCATCCTACATATCTGTCATGCGGTGCAGACTCCCAAGATTATGACTGATACGGCTTACGCTGGAGGAATTCCCAAATCACAGATGCACAGTGGTCATTTCCGGCAAGACTGTCTTCAACCCCAAACATAAATTTAATATCCATGGTAGTAGCGACAAAATCAGAAGTTGGCATCTCATCCTTATTATCTCTTAATTGTGGGTTTATCTTACTTGGGGGTGATTTAAGCCTTCTGTGCACTACATACATGCAAGCTTTCCAAAAAAGTTCATGAGGAACAAAAAAGAGTAAGTGCAATGCAAGGAAGTAGAGCCTGTGGGTTTAAAAAAAAAAAAGGTTTAATGAAAAACATGAGTTAAATTAAATTCAACCCAAGGCTAAAAAGGTGATTAATTATTGTCAGCATATCTCATTTATTAAAAAGAAATAAACATTCCACTGCTTTCTTGAATTGACTTGAGTTGAACTCTTTCATGGGGGAGCTGGGGGTAGGGGGGGTCTTTCTACTCTACTGGTATAAATGCTCCAAGATGTGTTCGTGTCATAAGTCAGAAACTCAGCTCAATATTATGAGACATTTTTCTCTTGCAAGTACTATCTTCTCCTAAATTTTAAGGAACTAAACCAAGATGTATCAACTAAGTTTAAGTTTATTAAAATGTGCTATTCCATTAAATTTATGTATATGGACTTTGGAACCTAGTAGATTAGAATTTAGTTCTATTTTCTCGCTAGAGACCCAGTGTAAAAAAAAGACCTTTTATCTACTTCATTTACATATATATATGTGTATATATATATACACACACACACACACACACACATATATATATATATATATGTATATTAGGGTTTTCATAAGATTCACAAATAATATTAAATGTTTAGAGTACATAGTAGGAGCTCAATGGATGAAATCTATTTGATAATCAAGGTGTTTAGAAGTGCTCCTCCAAAAAGAATTCATCAAATTTTTGTTTGAGAGTACCTTTTCTTCCATTTCCCATTTCTTAAATCGTTGACTATATTTGGAGTGGGTTATCAAAAGATAGAAAATGTATAGGTTAATATCTAAATCATTCTCAATCGAAATTCAGATATAAGCATGAACATATGCACTTAGGTTTATTTAGTTATCCTCATAGAAACTAATGCATTGTGACAATGCATACAAACACATACATATTAATAGTGCATTTTATACATTAATATAAAATAAAGCATGCAAGGACATGGAATATGTCCATTCTCCTACATCTGTGATGGTTTTTTTCCTTCTGTTTTTGTCTTCTTTCCATTCCCTGCCAATTCTTATGATTTTGGGCTCTCTTCTCTACTTTTTTAGCAGGAAAAACTTGGTCTTTGCTACCAGCTGTTTCTCTGAGTTCTAACTCTAGGCAGTATCTTTTTCCAGAATTATACACCTGCTTTCAACTACCTGTTTGGGTCTCTGTGTGCACGTTCTGACGGCATCTGAAACTGAATACACCCAAAGTTGCATTCATCCTGTTATTCTCCAAAACCAGCACCTCCTCCTGACAATCTCGTGTCTAAAGCTGGAAATGAGCTGGTTTTGATTCTTCCTCTCTTGATGCCCTAGATCCATCCAGTCCTTGTCTTGATGTCCTAGTTATCTAGACACTGCTTCCCATTCCTGGTTCCACCTTTCTACTGAGAGATTCTTACTTTGATTTTTATAAACACTTCCTCACCAGTTTTCCTCTCGCCAGTGCCCTTCCAATCACAATCTAGCCTACCAATTATACCTGGGCGAATCTTCCTACACCACAGAAGCAATAGTTTACTTTCATTCTGAAAATCTCCCGTTGTGAAACAGAAAATACAAACTCATACTCAGCACCTGAGGCTCTCTACCAGAGAGCATCCAGTTATCTCGGGCCCTGTCACCCGCTATGCCTTTGACCCCAAGGCTGCATAAATGAATGGCCCCTCAAAGCCGGATCTAGCTTGCACGGATAACTTTCTTTGGCCCACATGAGGGCTTTATACATTTTGGATTAGTTGTTAATTTTGAATTCATTGCTAACATGTACACATTGGAAGATTTCACACAAAAATCCAGAGTCTGGCTTCTTGTGAAAAGTTGGAACAGCTGGCCACGCCGAGCCTACATTACCCCATGACACCAAGGGCTGAAGCTGGCAGTGAGGGCCCCAGTTCCCCACAGCCTTCATCTGATCAGTGTCACTCAGCGTGGCGCTGGCTTGGGGCCTGCCCTACGCTCTGCAGTGCTCCGGCCACGTGCAGCATTCCCCAACGCACAGTGTGTCTTTGCTTATGTTATCCCGTCATTCTAGAAATGTCCTCTCGGTCCATCCTTCCTGTCTTTAAGGCCCATTTCAAATACTGCACCTTCCACGAAACTCACCTGCTGGATTTACCGCCCCGTGTCTGAACCTCTCTAACACCCTGTGGTTCCCGTATGGTCCGTGTTCCGCTCTCCACTGGATCGGTCATCGGAGCCCAGGGTTTCCCCTGGTTTCTCAGGGAGGTGTGCGGACAGCCACCTCTCCCCCACTCCTCAGGCTTCCTTGAGGAGGGGTTGTCCTCCTGACCTAGACCTTCCCCTCCTGCCCCCCTCAGTGATCCGCCTGTCTACACAGCGGAGAAGCCTTGTTCTGCTTGGCCGGGAAGGCCCTGACAGCATGTGAGCCTGAGGTCGTCAGCCCCCCCTGGGTGTGTGCGTGGGCCCAACTCTGAAGCTCAGTGTTGGCAGGCTGCCTCACATCTAAGCTAGGATTTCCCGTCCAGGTGTTATCTGCACACAAAGCTAACATTTTCATCTTTATCTGCTTGCATGCTTATCTCACAACCGTTTCAAACTCAAGCAGGGTATAGGAGGGGTTTTAATTGGGCTCCTTCTAACAACAAGAACTCGCTTTTTCTTGAATCTTCTGCAGCTCCTTAGCGAAGGTCATTGTACAGATAGGCATGCAAACATTTATCAAACTGAATCAAAAAACATAATCAGTGTGCATAAAATGCATGGGACATCATTTTTCTTATGTCCCCATAAACCATAACTTAAATGTCTCTGTAATGGTAACAAAATACAAATTATTCTGTATGCAACATAAAATATTTATTTCCTATTTACACTTCCATTTTAATGTAAATCATTGTACATCATATCACATACCCAAAAAAAAGAAAAAGAAAAAGGGAAAAAAGTTTCACCTTTAAAAGTCAGTGAAGAAAGCATCCGTATGAGAGTTATTAGCAGTCTCGCAGTTCTCGTTTCTTACCCTTTTTTGATTTTCTGGTTGTTTCTTGACGAATGGTATCATACTCCAATATGGCCATTTGGGAAAGTCTTTGTAAGTACTGAGACGATGCCCCAGTGAGAGGATCACTGAAGCCAGAACCTGTGAAGCAAAAAAAGAAAATCAATCATTAAAATTAAATTAAGCATACGTTAATGATATTTTCTAAAATATAGTGTCAGCAAAATATCTGTTCCTCAGATGATCATCAAACACTACTAGTTCTTCATATAACACGTTCTTTGAAGTATAATAGAAATTCTACTATGTATTTCCTCAAGTGATTGTGATAGCAACTTTCTCGAAAAATTTATAATTAAAAAAAACAAACCCCATCATGTTTGCATTTAATTAGATAAAACTAGATCTGTGTCCATAATGTGCTTCTTAAAACATGGGATGGCTGACGAATTTATTCTAAAGTAAAAGGCACAATCTCTATAAATAAGTAGCTCATTTAATACTTTACATGCTTTTCACGTTATTTTCTCCAAATAAAATTGTTTCTCATAAGTGCTAAGTGAAGTAAAATAAAATTGTTAAGTAAAATAAGTCATTCACTAACTGAAACAACAATATTAATCAAGCCTCTATTAGAGAGTGGTCGTAATAATAATAATAGATAACATTTACTGAGTGATCTCTCTAGTCAAGTACTCTTTTCACCTATTTCATCCATATAATACTATGAAGTAGGTAACTAATACTATCTCGGATTACAGATTTAACAAAAAAAGATTTAGTGAGGCTACAATATTTGCCCAAGGGCAAATACCTAAGTAACTGTTAGGGACAGGGTTTCAACCTAGAGCCACCAAATTCAAAGTTCCCGTATAATTGCTACATATTGCCCTAAATATGTAAATGTGTATAAATGCTTCTATTTAAAAACATACAAGTCTTTGAAAATAACATACGGATCCACACTGCTTTGAAATACTATTATTTAACTTCAAACAGTTTCAAGTGTCAAAAAAGCTGTTTTCAGTTCTCCAATGTGGTTGAGTTTTGTTTTGGGTGAGTATATAACATGAGAGAAGTTCAGAGAGAGAGTACTGGATAAGAATATGACCAGGATTCGTTTTCTTAGCTGCAATGGACTTGACACTTAAGAAAGACCCCCTGGCTACAAATTAACTAGATTCCAGGTATTAAGCAAGACTTGAAAAACTTCAAAGAATTGTTACCTACGGACCGATCCCATTAAGTTGGAAGTTGTTAACAATAAGATAAATTAAAAATTCTCAAACATTTAGAAGTTTATATAATCATTCTAAATTATTCATCAGTCAAAAAACAAATCACAGGAAAAAAACCATTTAACTAGATGATAAAGAAAACATTAGAAAACTTGGGCATGCAGCAAAAGTTGTACATAGGGAGGTTTATACCCTAAAATTCCTACATTAGAAAAGAAGGCTGGAAATTAATAAGCTAGGTATGAGATATACATGAGGGAAAGAATAAATCCAAAGAATATGGAAGAAAAAACGATAATACAGAAAAGAGGAGAAATCAATGAAGTAGAAAACAAACTTACATATGAAAGATTTTTAAAGAGTCAAAGAGCTCTTCACTAAAAAGACTAATAAAAAAAAAGAAAGCTTCTGGTGAGATTCATCACGAAAAAAAGGCAGAAGGAACAAATAAATAATATTGGGGTGTCGGAAAAGTCATGACGCATTTTTGCAACGAAAAACAGAAAAAATACGTCATGACTTTTCTGACAGCCCAATAATAGGAGAAGAGAGACAGCAGCAGAGATAGAGCAAAGACTAAACTTTATGCCAGTAAATTTGAAAATTTAAGACAAGAATGCAAAAAACTCTCGAAAGTATAATTTACTGAAATTGACTGAAGAAGAATTAGAATGCCTTAAGAGTCCCAAAATTAAAATGATTGAATCAATATTAAAAGATTCCTCCAAAGGAAACAAGTGACCCAAATAATTTACCTGTAAGGCGCTGGGTCACCTTACAGTTATCTAGAGGGATTCAATTTTCTTCTGGCAGGCAGGTGACCCCAATGCAGCCAAGACTGGATTTTAGGCTCTTTTAAAGCTAGTCTATTCTTGGGATGCCTTTATAGCGTCAGCACTGCAGGAGTTTGAATTGAAAGCCTGGTGTTTATGCTAAGGGCTCTCACTGGTGCCTTAAGCTCCCACCTCTGTCTCCCCAGCAAATGCTAAGTGGCTGAAACCTCTGCTCAGCTCTTTCGGCTTCAAGTTCTTTTCTGCTTGAGGTCCTGAAATATTACCCAGCATGCATGCTGCTTAGGAAGAGGCAAATGCCTGTTGGGAAAATTGCTCACAGAGTTTTGGGCTCACGTCTCTGCAGTTATCCCTCCAGTAGTAGCTCAGCCTCTCAAGTCCTGTTGGAAACAATAGCTTGATACCTTAAAACAGTTACTTTTTTAATATTTTTCTATTAATAATAAATATATATTACTTGTGTATTATGCTGTTTATTTATTGTAAAATATATTTGTATTATAGCTTTATAATTAGCTCTTTTGCTGATTCTCAGTGGTAAAGTTGGTCTGATGGGAGCTATTCCATCAGAGCCAGAGGTGGGAGTTTTATGGGCCAGTTTTTAAAAAGGTGTAACTATTGAAACAGATGACAGTTGCCACAGTGATCCTTTAAACACTTAAATCAGATCACATAAAAATCATGCTTCTGTGAAATCACTCAATGGCTCCTCGTTTCAATCAGAATTAATTTAAATACAACATCCCTTCCAAGGCCGTACATGGTCAGGCACTCCATCACGTCTCTGACCGTGTCTCCCACACCCTGAGAAAAGCCACACACACTCTTCTGATAGGTCAGGTACCGTCCTGCCTTGGGACCTTTGCTGGCTCTAAGACAATAACTGTTTCCCCAGGGTTTAACTCCCTCACCTCTTTCAAGTCTTTGCTCAAATATTACCCACTCCATTAAACCTATTCTGACCAGTGTATTAAAAACTGTCAATTGTCCTTCTTGCCCCAGATGGCCTGACCCGCCTTACCCAGTTCTGTTTGTTTGTTGTGGTTTCCACTGTACTTCCACCTTCTAATATACTAGGTAATGGACTTCTTTCTTATAACAGATTTAATGTTGGGTGGCTGTATTCTCTCACTAGAATGTAAACTCTACGAGTGAAGAAGCTGCCATCTTGCATGATTCGGAAGGAACATCAACAGTATTTACTCAACATTCAGTTTGTTGCAGAAACTGGTGTAGATACTGCAGGATACAAAGATAAGACGTAGTATCCAGCCCAAAAGAACCGTAAAACTGGCCTATTGGAAAACAGGCCGGCAAATGTTCATTTGGGCCAAAATGCAAAACAAATGCTTTTTGTTTAAATTAACACTTATACTTTTATTTTTATGCTGCCTGTTGATCACAGACATTGTTTATAGTGTATGCAAATGCACAGAAAGGAAATATCCAAGGAGAAGTTCATGAACATTTAACCTTATGAACATCCAGAGACTGAACTTGCAAAGCTGCTAACAAGTCAGTTCTGACTGCTACCCATGATGTCAATAAATGTTTTACTTAGTAATTTGAGTTTCTGTGGTTTGTTTGGAGGTGCTCTATTAACTCCATTATTCTATAAGTACAAAAGCATGGAAGTGATGAATGCACTAGAAGAAGACAACTATGATAATGATAAAAATAAGGTTTAAAAAAATCTTAAGTTGGTAAGGAAACAATTGTTACACATAAGTAAAGGAGGAAACATTTGATAGTATGAAGGACAAGTAGAAAATAACATAAATATGTTATATTTCATCCAGGGGTTCCTGGATGGGAATGATTTTTCCACGCTGAGGACATTTGGCAATGCCTGGAGCCATTTCTGATCGCCACACTTGGGGTGGTGGTGCTAGTGGCCCCCAGTGAGTAAAGGCCTTCAATTCACAGGACAGACCCCCCCACAAGAAGGAATTATCTGGTCCAAAATGTTAACACTGTCGCCGTTGAAAACCCTGGCTTAGATAATAATCAACAAAAGACAAGGAAATACCATGACAAATGGAAAACTTTTGACTGTGTGGTTCAAGAATCTTTACCATTAACTTTGGATAAAATTATTTCAAGAAACAGTTAAGAATTTATTGGAGAGCTTAAATGCTAGACATATGCATTATGTCACATGCCACATACCGTTCCCTTGGCATAAAACGCCCAGGAATCTGTAACACATGAGCATTCTAGAAAGGGATGAGGCAGTAAGTCTCGATGCCAGAGCTGCCAAGAAATTCTCCATAATCCTGTAGACATATGAAAAGTGTAATTACCTGGCTCAAGAGGTTTTCCAGTGTCTGTTTTTGAAAAAACAAAATTCTGACCAAACATATCAGAAGTCCTGATTTTAAAAATTCAAAGAACAAACCCATAATCCAAGGAGGCGGAAATACACCTTGGTGCTGCTATCAGCCCTCTTGGTCACCACAGACTTAGGAATAAACCAATTTAAGAGTAGTTTTTAGGAACCCAAAGGTGATGGCATAGGGATATTAAGTTTCTGTAGCTGGTGTATGGATACACAGGATTCATGAAAAAATTCATTCGATAAGGCCAGAAAGGAAAGTTAGGGGGAGACGGTAAAGGGTTCAGTGACAAGCTACGGGCTTTATACTTTAGTCTGCGGGTAATGAGGAGTCACTGTTTTTGAAGAAGGGAGTGATGAGATTAGAGGCCAACGTTTTAGGCTTTTGTTGCAGTGTTTTAGGATTTGCAAGGTTAAAGATCCAAAACTGGCCTGGTTGAAGCTTATTGCAATGGCCCACACGGGAGGCGATACGGGTCACTTCCAGGGTCCTGAGATAATAAAGGTATATGCATATCCAACACAGCATTTACTATCAAAAAGCATTAACAAAACAAAGACAATTAAATCAGTGAAAATAAAGGAAGTTAAAAAAAAAAAAGTAAGTATTCAACACCCGAATAAGACATGTGGTAGGAGAAAAAGATGCATCGACTTACCTTTTGTTTTCTTCTGAAATGGTACCACAGAGCACGTCTCCTTGGTCTTCTTTATCCTAAAATTATACATTATCATCAAATCACGTCTCTAAATCCAGGGTATAGTCATTCTTAAAAATACAGTAAGAGACAAGAAGCATGCTTTCAGTGAAACTTACTTGTTGAAGTACATCACATGGAAATTAAACATCAAAGAAACAAAATTCCTTCTACTATAACGAATCTAATCAGAAGCAGATATGAACCAACTTAATTTCTTTGTTTTTGCTAATAAATTTTACCAGTGGTTGAGTGTTACGTCTAACTTTTCCCATCTTTATCACAATTTACTTCTCACTGATCATCATTCAGGGAATGTTAAGAGGAAGGGAATCAAGATTTTATTCACGGGATATCTGGATACACCAGCTACCAGCTCACATATTTGTGTACTTTTTACCTATTCACCACCACAATCTGAATTTTGTCATAATGAACTTTTGTTCCTTCTGGAATAGACTCAGATATTAAGTAGGTTATTAGAGGAAGTAGCTCATGATTGAATCTGCTGTGGGCAAGACAGTCAATAGAATTCAAAATTTCTTATAACTATCTTAAACTTTGGAAGTCATCCAAAACTTTTAAATATTCTTTACCTCTCGGATTATTATTATCAGTGATATTACCAGAGTGTGCCTTGAGATTCACAGAAAATTTCTGATTATCTCTAATCTGAAAAAACATTAGACTTTATCAGCATTTTAAAATCAAATATTTACATGGGGAGGGAGAAAAAAGAGGGTAAGCGGTTGTAAAAAAATACCAAAACAAAATAAAAAATAAAAAATAAAATAAGTACTTCCCTGCTTTGCCAAGACTGTTCCTGGGAATTATGCAGAGGAGAACAAAATACTTGTAGGCAACTCAACATGTTCTCACTAGAATCGTTAAAATGAAGACAAGCAAGAGAATCAACATTTACACTTGCCAACCACTTAGTAAACATTATGGCATTTCGCCACTTTGCATATGAAGAACACTTATCACAACCGGAATGCAATATATTCAAATTATACTTCATTGACTTAAGCAAATTCACACTCAAGTCAATGCAAAATGTAGAGGAATCATTACACAAACTGCAAATGAAATTGCAAATGAAGAAAAATAAATAAATGAACTGAAATAGAGTGTAACCAGCAGGAGGCAAAACAAAGGCTGAGAACGCAGAGGGAGAATGGGCTCCTGCAGAGGGTGCTTTCCAGGCTTCCAGTTCCTTTAAGATGATCATATGCATTGAAAGATGGGTAACAAGACTGGTCTGTACTGAGACAAGCCCATTGCCGTAGAGTCCTCCACAGCCCTTCACCTACCCGCGCCCCGCCCCCCAACAAAGGGCTGTGACTCCGGGTGAAACGACAAGAGCGAGCTGAGTGTCTTGGTAACCGTGGAAACCCACCGTCCTTAAGCAGATTTTACTCTCATGTTCCCCATGGTCCCTCTTCTTTCTCCATCCCGGACAGAACCTCCGCTTTTAACTCTTACCATCCACGCGACTAGCAACTCTCTCTCTTCCACCATCTCCAATTCTGCCTTATTTCACTGTAATCTCATTTCAGAAAGAGTAATTTTGCTTTTTCATGTGTTTAGAGTTTGGCACTCTGTCCGCAGGTAGTATTTTTTAATGATGAGAAAGACTTTATGTGTGCTATTGCTCAATGTGGTGTTATTTACAAAAATGAAAAAGTCACAGCAACTTAGGAGTCCAACAATAGGAACTTTTAAATAAACTGTTATTAAACACAGTTAAATAAACTATGGACCCATCAATGAAATATAATGTGAACAGTAAAGACCATTTGAAGATTATGTAGTGACATGAAAAAACACACACTTGTAATATTAAGTAAAAAAGCAGAATAAAAAAATTGTAAGTCAACCAAAATCGCAACTAAAATTAAAATTCATGAAAATGAAGAAGAATAAAGAAAACACCCAACAATAAAAATGGATATGTTAGGATGGGCAAATTATCAAATAATTGTTTTTCTTTTTTTCCCCAAATTTTCTTCAAAGCTCTTATTTCTTTTCATAATTGAGATACAAACTAATCACAACTTTTCCTTTTTAGTATGTTCTAGTTTTCTATTTATATTACCAGGACTTATTTCAAGAGTCATTAACAAGAACAATAATACTAGTGGAAAACTCAAGAAATAGATTCTGAAATTCCAATACTTGTGTGCTATGCATAAGGGGATGAGTTTCAAAGCTCATTATGGCAAGAGATAATATGAAAATAAAAACCTGCCCTAAAGAGAGTTGCAAGTCAGACTGCTACAAATGCTTCATCTTTTTTTTTGTTTGTTTAGGCTGCCACATTCAATTAATATCTGATAAAAAAATTAAATAAGCCAAATAAAATAGGAGGCTGTCTTACTAATTTATAAATCCCTTTGAAGAAGGGGTTTCTTTTCATGGTAAGTCGGTCTGATTTGGAGCAGGAAAGGTTATTTTTAATAATATTTTAAAATGCCAGTATTCAAAGTCGGTGGGACTTGTCTGGCTGACCAACGCATTTCTGATATAGTCAATGCAGGGTTTTCATTAGGCTGACATCTCATTCAGAATCTCCTCTCACACCACTTCAGTCAAGAGAGAAATGAAACACAATGTTCTGTATTCGGGGTAGTGAAACCTATTAATATTGCAGAGAGTTCATTTGTTTTTATTGCTAAAAATTCCAATATTCTCATGAGCAATCTATACTAGGGCCATAAAGATTTTCAAAAGTCCTTAAATCTGTCCTGGCAACGTCACTTGAATACTGAGAAAAGTGCCTACTTGTCAAACTGAATAACATCACTAACTCAGATTTTAAAAATTAAATCCTTTATGGAAAGAAAATGTTAGTACGCAAGAAAGAATTAAGATTTACTGGCCGGAAAGACCTCTACATTCAGCAGTATTAAACATAAATATTCAACAAAAGAGAAATGAATAGACCATCTACCTGACTGGAGACATCCCAGTATCAGCACCCAGCAGTCTGTCGTGAACCGCCAGTGGAGATGAACCCACACTGTTTTGGCAACTTTGTGGTCCTGGTAAATATGGCATTTTGACACGTTTTTTGAGCTCTTCTAGACCAAATGTTGTGGTGTAGTCTAATTAAAGATAGTATCATAATTATTTTCATTATTTCTTGATTAAATATATATAACTTCTTTTACTATATACTAAAATACATAATAAGATATACTAAATCAGTCATTAAGTAAAGAAAATTAAGCTACTGTCATTTCTCTAGCATCTTTCCCCAGAGGAAACCTTCAAAGCCCTAGCATAGGGACTGTGGGAAGAGCGATTAACAGGCTGATTTTTTTTTAAGAATTAGAATAAGGAATAAAGGACAGCTTCGCATATCTTCCACAGTCTTCACTATTTTATATAATTAGAATTCTCAGAATATTAGATACATTCACATTGAAAATTGTTTAAAAGCACTTTCAAGAGTCTTGTAATATCTGCTACTTTAAATCTTTCCACCTTCCTGCTTTTACACAAAAAATCAAAATGTGTAAATACATGATCATCTGAGCTAGCAATGAGAGATAAAAGAATTCTACTTCAGGCATCGATTTTAATTATCTCTCTGCAAAATTCCACACCAAATCTATAAACAACCACACTGAAGCATTAATACTGCCTTGTCTACTGACCTCACATATCATTGGACAAAGGAATTGTCAAATTATTTAAAAAAAAAAAATTCAAAATGGAGGCTGCAAATGGAAAAAGCAGATTAAGAAATCTGGGTGATAATTAAACTAAACATAGAGAATTGTTTTCTAAGCTTTCTCTACTAAGCAAGTCTAGCACAGCAATAAAAAAAAGTATTTAATGGGACTGGAATTACGTTAAATACTCAAAATGCTATTTTGCAACCTTTCGTTTATTTTTCTCTTTTGCAAAAAAAAAATAGTTTTTCTTGATCAAAAACCATAAAGATCCTCTTTTCAGCAACTGGTTTTGGGAGTAGGCGGGTAGATAAACTGGTGTCCTCTGAGTACCTTTAATGGGAATCTAGTAAAAACTAAAAACTGTACCAACACATTCAAAATCAGAAGTGATGAAATGGTTGGGGAGCTTGATTTTGCTCTTTTCAAGAATTATATCTCCATTAATAAAGCTAAAGGCAGAATTCAAGATAATTAAAAAATACAATTATAATTTGAAATTAAGGGGGGAAAGCTACTAATACACTCATTTACATGTCAAAAGTATCAAACTAGTCTTTATTAAGCAGCTATGGGATACAAAATACTTTCCATATAACTCACTCAAAAAGTAACATTTTGGTTAGAATTATTAAAAAGGTACTGTTAAAGATTTGGGGTTTTTATTTTTAAAAATATAAAAACGAACTTGAGTTACTTAAAAACAAACGCTATTTGTGAAAAGTAGTGTGATCCAACAGAGATAGCACTGCACTGATATCAAGATAAATAGTTCTTCAAAATTTGTTTCTATCACGAGTGACAGAATTACATTAAGTAAATTAATTTTAATTTGCTCCCATTTTTTCCCCCGTAAGCTTAAGATATTATCCTTATGTAAATGTTACAGAAATCATAAAGTCTCATTGCTTAAAAATATACATGGAAGTTCAAATTCACTATTTCTATATTTTCTTAAGTAAAATAAGAATAAAATTGAAGTCACCTTTCCTCATCTTTTGTGTTTCTAAAACTGCTCTCCTCCAACTACCCTCAAAAAGAATACAACTGTCAAGGGAATTTCTGGTGACATAAGAAGTCTCAAATTTGATTTCAGGCGATAGCACTGGCATTTTTCCTTCTTCCAACAGTTCTGATGAAAGTGAGAAGCTAATCCAGATTCAGAACATAAAATACAAAAAAAAAAAAGTATTTCAGAGATAAATATTTTTGTTATTTGTTTTCCATCATACACATCAAATACTGACATAGATTTAAATGAAAAGCTTACTTGTAACATGTAAATATATATTCTTGGGATTTTAAAGCAAGAGGACTTTAAGAATATAGCTAAAATACACAGTGAGAATTTTTTTCTTTTATATATTTTAATGAATTCTTTCAAATTCTGGGTAGTAGATACTTGGCAACATAAAAAAAAATTAAAGTCCAACAGCAAGTTATCATGTACAAGACGAGGGAATAATATTACCATTATGCACCATGGTGGGATTTATCTCTGGGATGCAAGGATGGTTCAACACACAAAAATCAATTATTGAGATACACCACATTAACAGAATGAAGGATAAAGAAAAATCACATGATCATCTCAATAGATGCAAAAAAGCATTTGATAAAATTCAACATCCTTTCATGATTAAAAAAAAAAACTTTCAACAAACTAGGAACAGAGAGAAATTATCTCAACATAATAAAGGCTATATATGAAAAGCCCACAGCTAACATCATAGTCCACGGGGAAAAACTGAAAGCTCTTCCTCTAAAATCAGGAACAAGGCAAGGATGCCCATTCTCACTTCTATTCAATGTAGTAATGGAAGTCCCAGCCAGAAGCAATTAAGAAAGAAAAGGAAATAAAAGTCATCAAGATTGGATAGAAAGAAGCAAAATTGTCCCTCTTTACAGTGACATGATCTTATATATATACAGAATACACTAAGACTCCACCCCAAAAATGTTAGAATAAAGGAATTCAGTAAAGTTGTGGGATACAAAATCAACAAACAAAAATCATTTGCATTTCTATATACTAACAACAAACTATCCTGAAAAGGGAAAACAACCCAATCAAAAAGAATAAAATGCTTATGAATAAACTTAACTAAGGGAGTGAAAGACTTGTATACTGAAAAACTATAAAACATTGATGAAAGAAATTAAAGAACACACACAAAAAATGGAAAGATATCCCATGTTCATAGACTGGAAAACTTAATGTTGTGAAAATATTCATCCTATGCAAAATGACCTACAGATTCAATGTAATCCTTATCAAAATTCCAATGGCTTTTTTTACAAAAATCGTGAAAATAATTCAAAAGTTTATATGGAACCAGAAATGACCCCAGATAGCCAAAACAATCTTGAGAAAGAAGTTCAAAGTTGGAGGCAAAATATAGTACAAAGCTTAAGTAATTAAAACAATATGATACTGGCATGAAGAGAGACATATAATCCAATGGAACAAAATGGAGTGCAAAAATAAATCCACGTATATACAGTCAGATGATCCTTGACAAGGGTGCCACGAATGCACAACAGAACAAGGACAGCCTCTTCAACAAATAGTGTTGGGAGAACCAAATATGCACGTGCAAAAGAATGAAACTGAACCCTTTCTTATCTTATGCCCACACAAAAATAAACTCAAAGTGAATTAAAGACTTAAGCCTAAGACATGAAACTGTAAAAATCCTAGAAATAAACATAGTGGAAAAGCTTCATGACATTGGTTTTGGCAATGATTTTATGGAAATGACACCAAAAGCACAGGAAAACAAAATAAAAAATAGGTAAGTGGGACTACATTAAGCTACAAAGCTTCTGCACAGCAAAGGAAACTGTCTAAGAGTGAAAAGACAACCTACAGAACAGGAGAAAATATTTGCAAAGCATATATCTGATAAGAGATTAATATCCAAAATATATAAGAAACTCCTATAACTCCCCATCCCCCCAAAATTTATTTATTTATTTATTTATTAATAACCCTATTAAAAATGGGCTAAGGACTTGAATAGACATTTCTCCAGAGAAGACATACAAATAGCTAACAGGTATATGAGAAGATGTTCACTGTCACTAACCATCAAGGTAATGAAAATCAAAACCACAATGAGCTATCACCACACACCTGTTAGAGTGGCTATTATAAAATTCTTTTTAAAAAAAGACAAGTGTTGGTGAGGAGTAGAGAAATTGGAACCCTTGCACGCTATTGGTGGAAATGCAAAATGATGCAGCCACTATAGGAAGCAGTGTGGGGATTCCTCAAACACTTAAAAATAGAACTGCCATACGAGCCAGCAATGCCACTTCTGGGCATTTATCCAAAAGAATTGAAATCAGGATCTCAAAGAGACACTAGCACTCCCGTGTTCATTGCAGCTCTATCACAATGGCCAAGATGTGGAAACAGCCTACATGTCCATCACCAAATGAATAGATAAAGAAAACGTGGCATAGATATTCAATGGGATATTATTCTCCCACAAAAAAGAAGGAAAGCCGCAATAGCATGGATGAAACTTAAAGACATCATGCTAAGTGACAAATACTGCATGACTCCCCTTATATGAAGTGTCTAAAATAGTCAAACTCATAAAAGCATAGAATGCTTGTCACCAGGTATAAAGTTTCAGTGAAACAAGATAAGTAAGTTCTAGAGATTTGTGTACAACATTGTCCTTATAGATAACAATACTGTATTATACACTTAAAAATCTTAAGAGGGTAACTCTCAAGGTAAGTGTTCTTACCACAATAAAAAACTTCTTTTAAATTATTACCATTATAAAATGCATTTGTGCCTGAAAAAAAAGATAATTTCTATGCTCCATGAAAAAAACATGTCCTCAAGATAGTCATTACTTTTGTTCTAAACATGGACACAGAAGAACAATTAATCATGTATCCAGCTTACTTGCTACACGTATATTCAACTCAATCATATATATTGTCGATTATGTGCAAGGCATTACTACACTCTGAAGAGAGGACAACCATGAGCAAGACGTGGCCCCCACTCAGGACAATGACAACCACCGCAGTGACAACTAACTGGGTGCCTATTAATCCATGCTCCTGGCTGGGCATTTTATATTCACTTTCTTCACTCTTCACAACAAAAGGATTAGATATCCAGATGCGGCTGTGCTCACTCATTCATAGAAAATGTTATTTACTGAGGGTAGATTCTATGCTGAGGATGGCACCAGGCATTGGGGAAACAAGATAAACGAAACGGTCTCTGCCCTTGAGGAGCTTAGGGTCCAGTAAAGGAAACACAGACAAGGAAACAGATAATACAGTGCAGTGAGTGCTATAAAGGGAAAACAATACAGTGTCCGAGTGCAAGAAAAACATGTAAAAAGACTATGAGGTAAAAAAAAAAAAAAGACTATGCGGTGAACAAAACAATAACGGACTCATAGAAATAGAGACCAACGGGACGGCTATTGGAAGGAAGGGGATGGGGCGTGGGTGAAAGGAGAAAGGGGAATATAGTCAATAATATTGTGGTAAGTTCACACGGTGACAGACGGTTACTAGAACTAGCGGGGTGATCACATTGTAAGGTCTAAAAATGTCAAATGACTATACTGTTCGCCTGAAACTAATATAACCAATATAAGATTGTCTGCCAACTATACTTAAATAAAAATAATTTTACAAAAGGTTATGAAATGAGAGACAATGTGGCAAGTGTGCATCCCTACGCATGGGTGCACGCCAGCAAGCAAGGAGAGGGAATGAGGGGAGTGTGGGAGCAGAGAGGGAAGGAGGGGAGGGAAGACAAAGAAGGAGAAAGAGGGAAGGAGGGGGACACAAAGGTAGCCTCAGAGATGGAGGCGTGGGGAGCCCTGAGCACCTCCTAGGAAGGCCATTCCTAAGGTGCCAGCTGTGTCAAATCCTGGAGAGGTTGTTTACTGTAACATGAGAAACTGGGATAAGAAGACAGAAGAACAGTCTGGCGTTGGTGACGAGGCCTTGGGTCTGCTTTGAAATGGCAGTGATGAGAGTTAAAGGTGAGGACGGAAAGCGGACAGTACACGGGCTACCGATGGGGGTGAAGAGCATTTGGAAATGTAGCCAGACACCCAAGAGAGAGGACAGTCACAATCTCAGCGCCATGCCGAGGGCCCACGTGGGCATCTCCCACCAGACCTGCCAAGTCCTCTGGCGTTGAGCCACCCTGTTTCCCTGCAGCAGGGCTCAGAGGTGCCCACGGCTTCCCGTTGCTCTCCACTGCTGCCACCACCCTCTCCATACTTGGGCTTCATCCCTTTTCCAAGCAAGGATGAAAGAGGAACGCCTCATTCTGTCTTTGATGCTCTTGAACGCTCTTCATTTTCATAGGGCTTATTGCTAAAGATTTGAGAAAACAGGACAACCATAATGGCAACAGCAATCATGAAAAGGACAACGAATCTGAACTAAAATGTGGAGTAAATTAAATTCCAAGGTCTTAAAAGACTGTTAGGATCACAATCCAGACCCCATTCTAAGAATTTCTTTTTCCTTTTACTTACAAAGGTGAAGATGACCTGACAGCTCTCTTGCAGCTCCAAGCAAACCCTCCTCTCCTTGGAAGCCTCATTACTAAGAGAAGCAACGATCAGAATCAACAATAAATGTTTCTCGGGCATTTGATCAAACCAGATCAAGAGAAACCCTTCTTAAAACAGAATTTGAGAAAGTTCAAACAATAAACAAATGAGGGTTCATTATACTATTACCTCTACATTTTTCTATGTGTTTGACATTTTCCACAATAAAAAAAAAAAGTTAGGGGGGAAAAGCCCAGATCTGCAAGAATGTACCACTTAAGGAATGTGCTGAAATAATTTTTAAAAACCAAATGTTTTTGATCTGACGTTCCCTGAAGTTACGGTCACCACCTAATTCTAGTGGAAAGAGAAAAATTAAAGATATTTTACAGGAGCTAAAAAAAAAAAAAAGACTTAAAAAAAAACACATGTAGAAAGAGATAAGAAAAGGAACAAAGTGCATATGTTCTAGGGCAGGCCAGAAAGAACTCACTCAAAACGAACGCTTTATCAAATGAACAGTAAAGAGACTCGGATGGAGATAAACTAATTGTTTAGACTAAGGAGCTGCAAAATAATTACCCCATTTTCAAAGCCACCCC